ATATATATATATATATATATATATATATATATATATATATATATATATATATATATAAGACAGGTTTTGAATGAGAGCACTCATGTAAACAAATGGAAAACATTGGGGATCTTAGGTATCTATCCTTGTGGAAATAGCAAAATCACTATTCTTTCTGTTAATATTCATCTAGAAAACTTAGATTAATCATGACAGATAATTTGAAATGCATCAATCTAACAATTCTAAGTTAGAGATTAGGGATCAAGACTATATATGAAGTCTAATTCATGACTAACTAAAATTTGAACTTCTAATATACAAAGCAAAAATACTTCCACTAACAATGCATGGAATAAAAGACAGGTGATCACTTTGTAGCACAACTGGTAAGAGATAAAGTGATAACATTTGACTATAGGAAGAACATAAAGATCTCTTAGCATTATAACAGTACTTATCTACGTGAGCATTTATGTATGAATCCATGCTTCTCTTTTGGAAGCTCATGCATCATATACTCTGCCTATTTCCTCACATTTTGGTCCGCATGGCACACCACAATCACCTCAGTCTCTTAAACCTTCCTATTCCCTTGTGTAGCACAATAGGTAAGAGATGAGTGATAACAGTTCAACATAGGAAAGACATGCATGAAGATATCCTAGCTTTGTAATAGTACATATCAACATAACATGTATACGCACAATAAGCCTAATGTGAATCCCTACTTATTATTCTCTTCTAAGTTGTTTTTAGAAGCTCATGCATCATGTCCTCACACTTTCGTCCTCGTATCACACCACAAATATCCTCAATCCTTATCACTTCCATTCCTTCTCCGGCGAGTACCACTAACATGGTGGCCGCTACTTTCTCTCTCACCAACTTTCTATTCCAAGCATCATCTCAAAAAATATAATCAATAATAATGAATAAATTTTAATATTAAAATTTAAATTAATTTTTTTTAATAATAATAAATTTTAATAATAACAAATAAATCCTAGGATGCATATCTTTTAATGTCATCTAAAATATTTTTTTTCTAATTTTTAAGTGTGATCTATAAATGCACGATCCTATGAACGATGGAATAGAAATTAATGAAAGATGAGAGTAGATATGTAATGAAGTTATGTCTGTTTATAGGATCTAGAATAAATAATTAAAAGAGTCATTCCCAAAAGAATTCTATTATAGATTTCTTTTTCTTTGGACGATAACCCTATTTAGAATCTAATTATAATTATAATATGTCTTATCAAATTAAATAAGATAATATAATCTAACATTTTTTCATTTAGCTCGTTAATTAATAAGATTTTAAAAAATAAAAAATTAATAAAATAAAAATTAATTATTTTTTTAAAAATATATTCTAAAAATTTTGAAAAATATTTTACACATGGCTACAAATATTATAAAATAAGTCAATAAGTTCAATAAATATAATAATAGTATATTAAATCCAACTACTAATACAAATCATAGTAGTTGTATGTCATCAATAACATACTCTCTTATTTGTACCACAATACTGTTAGTCTTTCCTAATACAGTCTATAATGACCCCTGAAATTTATCGTGTCAAGATAATCTTATTATCATATTCAACTATAATATGTACATATATAAATGTGAATAAGATAACATCAATAAATAATTTTAATTACGTAAGTAAAAATATCAATTATAATATCTACTCAAACGTGTATCATCATATCTTTATGGGCTATTCATGAGCCCAATCATAAGAATATATTTATTAAATATCTTTGATTATAAGGTCTTAGTAAATGAATCAATAATCAATATAATAGAATTTAGATTTTCAATTGACATTAGTTATTTCTAAACTCTTTCTCTAACTATCAAGTATTTTATACTATAATATATAGCACTATCAAAGTATTTATCATTCTAAAAAAAAAATTACTATGATATATTATAAATTATCTTTAATGACTTAGTAATTGAGTCTAACCATACCAAGTCCTAAAATATAATCTCACATTCATCAAGCTTAATTAGTAGTCTCAAAGCATGTCTTAAATTAACTTCTATTTTTTTGATAATAT